GGCTGGCAGCCTGGCAGGGGCACTGTGTGTCCCCCCCGCTCGCCTTCAGCCCCTGCCCACGTGGCTGTCCGGGTGCCACACTCTGTGCTGACACAGCGGTGGTGGCCAAAAAGGGGGTTTTGGGGTGCACCATGAGTACTACAAAGGGTATAGGGTCAGGTGGGATTAAAAGCAGTGGGTGCAGGGCACTGCCAACCTGAGCCCTGCAGAGGGGACAGCACGGGGGGGGGGGGTCTGGCAGCAGGGGACAAACCCCCTGCTTGTCTCTGACCCTTCTCCCATCCCTGCTGTCCCCACTGAGGGTCTTGGCACGCCCTGGGTGAGGGGGCAGCCAGCGCTGGGACCCTCGTGGCGGGGCTGGCAGGAAGCCCTCGGGGTTTGTCGCTCGCTCTTGCGGTCGGGGCGAGAGCTGCGAACGAGCTGCTCGAGGGTTTGCTCATGAGGCAGGAAACAGGGGCAGGCGGGAGCGGGAGTGGGAGTGAGAGCCCAGGGAGCAAAGCCCGAGGCCTGGGGGGGCTCCGAGCTGCGCCCTGCGGGGTCCCCGCGCCCCCGGAGGGATGGGCAGGACGTGAGGAGGGAGCCGGGAACGCCGCCGGGGCATGGGGGTCTGAGGGAGGCCGGGCATCACCTCCCTGCCAACAGGTAAGGGCTGGGGGGAGCAGGGTCTGAGCCACCCAGGTGGGAGATGGGGACCACCCTGAAAGTGGGGGGCCTGGGGGACCCTCGGAGGGGTCAAACAGGGGTTCAGGCTTGCAGCGGTGGGTGAGGGATGGGGGGAGTCAGCCTGTGCTCCCCACTCCTCTCTGCTGGTTGTTCCTCGTTGTTCCAGGGTCCTCTGCCCACCCAGGGTGGGAGCACCGGCCTCCTCACAGGGCTCTTCCCAGTCCCCCCTTTCCAGGGCAAAGCGGGAGTTGTGTCCCCAGGGCTGTGGGTGAGAGCGGTGTAGGGACAGGCAGCAGCTCAGTGCTGGGTTCACTGCCCATTTTGGTGGTTCAGGCATTGAGATAAACCCATTTTTGGTGCTGCCTCGGCGCAAAGACCCTCCTGCTGCGACGGCAGCTTCGGGGTTGGGGTCCTTGGTGTGGCTGGGAGGCTGTACCAGAGCAGGGAGGGATACCCAGCGTAGGGATGGACACCCAGAGCGTCACAGCTGGCAGGGGGGACACTCTGGTGAGCCCTGAAGAGCATCAGGGATGGGTCAGCCCGACCTTCAGCCCTTCCCACGCCCGCCCACAGCCATGAATAAACCAACCCCACCCGGCCAGAGAGGAAGGGCCGGCTCAGGACAGGGAGATGGGGGGGTCCAAAAACACCCCAGAGCAAAAATTAAGACAGGAGCACAGAAGGATGCACAGATGCCTCCCCGGGGGGACGCACTGAACACGGGGCAGGGGCGCCTAAACCTCCTTCCCAGGCACCTTCGCAGCAGAAATTCGGTTTGCACAGATGCAGTCGCCAAAAACCAACTTCAAACACCCCTTTACCCCCACCCCCCCCCTACCCCGCGGCGTGGCCCAGGTGAAACGGCTGCTCGGTGGAAATTACGCTGTGGCTTGGGGCTGTAAGAGAAAAGGCACAATAGCAGCACCTCCCTCCCCACCCCGGCTCCCTGCAGGGAGGAAAAAACACCTTTTGGCACTGCTTGCTGGGGGTAAAGGTGCCTGAAGGGCTGGAGGGAGCTCTGGGGACGCTGGGGGCTTCTCCTCTGCGGGGCCAGGGTGGTGCTGGGCATCGCTGTGGCCCTGCCTGCTCCTTTTTTGGGTGCCAAGGGGAGTCCCCAAAAGGCACCAGGGTGGTTTTTAGCAGTGTTGTACAGCATGGGGGGGGTCACTCATCTGTGTTCCCCAAAATTGCCGGTCTCCTGTTCCATTTGGTGGTGGGCACCCTGAGGTGGCACCGTGGGGATGGTCCCTGTGACCCTGCTGATCCTTGGACCTGAGGGAGGGAGCTCCTGCTTGTGCAGTGGCTGGAAACCAAGGCCAAAGCAGTGCCAGCAGTGCCAGCTGCCGGTCTGTGTCCCAGAGCAGCATCTCCCAGGGCTCAGCAGGGCACCAGGAGAGGATGGGGACCCTCCCAGCCGCACCACTCACGGCTGCCGGGTTGGGACAGACACACCTGGGCTGGCTCGTGGTGACTCGGGGCTCCCAGAGCCCGTGGAAACCACGCCAGGGCCCCCAAAGAGCCCCCAGAGCCAGGCCTGGAGAGCAGGGTTTGGAGGCCAGGTCTTGGTGGAGACAAATCCCGGCCGTGTGGGCGTGGGGGATTCTGCAGAAGAGCTTTTTCCGGGGCCCGTGGGCCGCCCTTTCCACACGAGGCGCCGCAGGGCTCCCAAAACCATGGGGGTTTTCTGCCATGATCAGCATTCTTGGGAAGGCCAGAGGTGCCTGGGTGGTTTGCAGAGCCCTTGTGACACTCGTGACATCAGTGCTGGGGACACTGGGGACAGCCCCATACCAGCTCCTGTATGTTTCGGGGTGAGCTGCAGAGGATGAGGGACCCCAGAGCAGGGGTGAGGGGGGTTGAGGACATCCCTGATGCAGGAGAAACAGGGGTGAATGTGGCTGAGGGACTAATTGCCTTCAGTGGTTTTAATTAACAGGGCCAGGATAAATTAGGAGGAAATAAGGGCTGGTGAGAGAGAGCCGGGGGATGTCCCCAGTTCAGCTGAGGGGTGTGCAGGACGGGCCATGCCCTGTGGGAAGCCAGATGGATGGATGGATGCAGGGATGGGAATGGGCTGGAGGAGGAGGAGAGGGGGAGGCTGGGGGTGTGAAGGCTCCCCTCACCACCCTTGCCCCCCCAGGCACCATGGGCTGCTGCTGCAGCTCAGACTATGATGAGGACTGGATCGAGAACATCGACATCTGCGAGCACTGCAACTACCCCATCGAGCCCAACAGCAAGAGCCAGGTGAGGGGGGGGCGAGAGCCCCCCATCCTGGTGGCCAGACGCCTCTGGAGGTGGCCATGGGGTGGCCAAACCCCCTGGAAGGCGAGGGCTCATGGGGCTCCTCATCCCCTGGCAGAGGCTGATCCGCACTGGCTCCGAGGTGCAAGACCCCCTGGTGTCCTACGAGTCCACGTCCCCGCCGTGCTCCCCCATGCAAGGTGAGGTCTGGCCGTGGCGGGGGGACACCCCCAAAGGGGCCACTGCCACCCTGTTCCTCTCCTTGTTCCCCCAGATAAGCTGGTGGTGGCCCTGTACAACTACGAGCCCAAGCACGACGGGGACCTGGGGCTGCGGAAGGGAGAGAAGCTCCGTGTGCTGCAGGAGTGAGCACCGACCGTGTCCCAGCACCGACCTCGGCACGGCCCCGCCGCTCCTGCGCTGCCGGGGGGGGCTGTGCGGGGTCCTGGCAGCTGTGGGAGGGGTGGTGTCTCACCTGGCTGTGTCCTTGCAGGGATGGGGAGTGGTGGAAGGCACAGTCCCTCACCACCGGCCAGGAGGGATTGATCCCCTACAACTTCGTGGCCTTGGTGAACAGCCTGGAGCCCGAGCCGTGAGTAGGGACGGAGCAGGAGCTGCGTCCTGGCAGAGGGGGACGGAGCCAGGAGCACCCCCAGAAGTGCTGGTGGGTGAAGGCACAACCTGAATCCCCCCTCCTCCGTCCCCCATCCCTGTGTGCCCAGGTGGTTCTTCAAGAACATCAGCCGCAAGGACGCCGAGCGGCAGCTCCTGGCGTCGGGCAACACGCACGGCTCCTTCCTCATCCGCGAGAGCGAGACCTCCAAAGGTACCTTCCCTCACCGGGACACGCCCTGGGAAGCACCCTGGGAGGGGCGTGGGGGTCCCATGTGGTGCCCGTGCCCCCAGGCTCGTACTCGCTGTCCGTGCGGGACCTGGACGAGGCCCAGGGAGAGACGGTGAAGCACTACAAGATCCGCAACATGGACAACGGCGGCTTCTACATCTCCCCCCGCATCGCCTTCGGCAGCCTCAGGGAGCTGGTGCAGCACTACACGCGTATGGGACAGCCTGGGGGGGGTGGGAATGGGATGGGGATGGAGTGGGATGCGGTGGGACGGGGGTGGGATGGGATGGGATGGGATGGGATGGGATGGGATGGGATGGGATGGGATGGGATGGGATGAGCAGGACACGCTGCTCCACGTGCCCCAGCCAAG